ATTCCATTCAATATTATAGCTAAGGGAGGCTTTTTCAAATCGTGTGGCAAGGAACCATTTACTTAGCAACCTAATTATGCTACGGCCAATTATTATAAAGGTAGCACTGATTCTTTCCATAAAATATCAAGCTATATAGGTCAACTCATTAAAGAGATTGTTTAATCATGCATGAAAAGAGATTTAATTTAACTTGTGCCACATATATCAAGAATATTGTAACATAGTATTATCATACACACACTCATCAAATATCATGCATGCCAATTATTCATGTAGAGCAGAACTGAGAGCAATTCTAACGTTTGTTCATGATAGAACAGATAGTGGTTCTATCTGTTGGTACACCTGCATGGTTAGTCAAATAAATGTAAATGCCTGTTTGGACCTTAGGATAGTTCTATCCCTTGTTCCTGCATGGTTAGTCATCAACAAAACTATATACTCAAGTACTCAACATCCGCCCTTCAATAATTCACGGCCTGGGGCTCAGCCTCTCGCCAGGTGCCAGTGTTGAGGTTTATTCGTCTAGGTCCAAGGGCTCGACACTCTATCAAGCCGAGCATCGAGCCTCTAATTTAAGATGTAATCGGTTAACTTTATGACTAGACAAACATCATAAACATGTGTGGAAATCTCTCAATGAGACTAAGGGAGTATGTGTGTGTACATACCTTTTATTCATATATTTTCATCTTTAATTTATTATATGCCATTTTATACACTTTTTACAATTTCAATTATATCACTTTAATAATGTTAATACCTTTTCATTTAATAGCCAAAACATATATCCTAAATCTAAACATTTAAACGATAAACTATATCATATAATTCGTAGAATATAACTTATAGAATGTAACAATATAAATTAAAGAAGATAGAAAGAATTTAAACATACTACAATGGAAGAAATGAGAAATTTAGATTTTAGAATTAATATATCATAAAAAATCAATTAAAATAGTACTAATTGCTTCATGAAAAAAGATAAAAATATCTAAATCCTTAAATTTTATATCACTGTATATTTTATTAGAGAAAAATATGTAAATTTGAATAAAGGAAAATAACACAAAATAATAAATTGGTAACACAGCTAGGAAAACAAATTGAAAAATGAAACTACTAAAAATAAATTAAAGAATGGCTTAAAATATTTTTTAACCTTGGTACATTTTTAGAGTTTTGTAATTACTTTTTTTGTTCAATTTTTTTTTTTTGGTAAATGGTAATAAATACCAATTAAATCTAGTGGCGGTAAAAAAAAACAAGAGAGTGAATCTTGTGCCAATAATCTAGTCTCCAAAAAGTGAATAAAATTTATGCTGAGTTGAAATCTAATAAAAAGTGAATAACCTTGGATATTTCATCAAATAGAGGCAACCCCCAATCAGTTAGGTTGAAATCTAATAAAGAACTGAGAACTTGGCCAGCATTTTCATGGTGAGAGCTATCCAACCTGGGGTCAGGAACCATTATATTACCACTGACATGCCAGCATTCTTAGCAGCAAGAACACCTGATGGAGCATCCTCAAAAACAAGAACTTTATGCAGATCAACAACAATGTGATGCATCAATGAAAAAAGTTCATCATGTTGTTTTGTTTTCAATTGAAAGCTAGTGGCGCATTCCTGTCTCCTCCACAAATACCTTAGCTGCTTCTAAAGCCTTCAATTCTTACCCATCATTTTTGCCGGCCTTGAGTGACCAATCAAATGTCTTGTTGTATCTAGCAAGTATAATGTAGGTATCTTCCACCTTCTTTCTTGGAAGTTACCAAGAGACACCTTAACATGGAGGCATCTTCTTGGAAAGAGCTCTCCAACAAATAGGTGTAAGAGAAGATATGGAGATACCTAGGAAGCTTGGATGCAACTTCCTCATGTCTCAAAACCATCCCTATAAATAGAGTGCTCCATTGTTGTACATAGTATCAGTTTAGAAAGTGAGAAAAGTGTGTGAAAAGTGAAATACACTTAGTGTAGAAGTGTATTGGTGAGGATTGGTTTTTTGTAATAGTTGAGTGTGAGAGTTTACTCCTCCTATTGTAATTCTGTTCTTGATATTGAATAGAAGAATTTTCAATCCCAACAAGTGGTATCAGAGCGAGGTTGAGTTTCCATACACTGTTTTCTCATTTTCAGATAAATTTCTACAGGTTAGAAAATCGTGATTTTTCAAGTTGCTCGGAATCAGGATCTGATCATACCGTTAGATTCGTCTCAGCGAGACGAGAAATCTGGTATTTTTGGGGATTTTTTTGGCCACCGGAAGAGGCCGTACGCGCCGCCGGAAAATTGCCTGCATCATCACTGCGTCATCACGCAGTCCAGAGGAAGAAGACGATCCACGTCAGCTGCCACGTCATCGCCACGTTGGACCACGTCAGCGACACGTGGTGCCGAGTCATCCGCCACGTCATCCACCCGAGCCGTCCGCTGTGTGCCACGTCAGACGCCACATGGCTACACGTCATCGCCACGTCAGCGAGGGAGCAGAGCCACGTCATTCGCCTGCTGGGCTGCAGGCTGGGCTGCTGCCTGAACCGGACCGAACCGGTTCGTGCTTTTGGAGGCCGGTTCACCCGTTTCCAGACCAGTTTTGGATGAGGTCAGACCGATTCTTACCATTTTCGGCCATTCCGGATCCAACAGTGAGCTCCGTTTGTCCAAATTCGGCTTCGAAAATAAGGTACGAGATATATAGAGCGTTTTATTATGGATAAATCATCGTCGGACACCATGATTGCGCTCACATCCACAAACTACAATATGTGGAAGCCTCGGATGGAGGATTTGCTAAATTTGAGGGATTTAGCGGATCCTCTTGATAATAATGGTGTGAAACCGGATAAAAAGACGGATGAAGAATGGACAAAAATGAATCGAAAAACTGTCGCACAAATTCGACAATGGATAGATCATAGTGTGTTCCACCATGTTGCTCAAGAACAAAGTGCTTGCACACTATGGGAGAAGCTTGGTAGCATGTATCAAGCAAAAACCGCCCGAAATAAGACGTTACTAATGAGGAGATTAGTAAACCACAAATTATGTGGGGGTATTTCGGTGTCAGAACACACCAGTCAATTCCAGGATCTTGTGAATCAGTTGAGCACCACCGGATGGGTTCTCAAAGATGAAGAGCAGGCGATACTACTCTTGAGCTCTCTACCTGACAGCTGGGAGACTCTTGTTGTCACTCTCAGTAATTCTGCTCCAAATGGGAAGGTGACTATGCAGATGGTCACAGATGCCCTGATGAATGAAGAAGCCCGAAGGAAGGAAGCCGGGACGGAACAATCATATGTCCTCATATCAGAAACTAACAGACGAGGGGGAGGCAGAAATGGAGGAAGAAGTCGAGGTCGAGGTAGAGGTCAAGGTCAAAGTAGAGGAAATTCTCAAGTTCGCGGAAGATCACAAGAGAGAGGTATGTCCTTTGAAAACAATACTTGGTTCGAAGGATATTGCAATTACTGTAGTAATTATGGACATAGGAAAAGAGATTGTAGAAAGTTTCTACGAGAGAAGCCACAGACGAGTCAAAATACTAGCTAAGAAGATGGTGAGACCATGGTTAGTTTGTCATCAGACGTGTGTCTTGTTACACATGGTGAACAAGAATGTTTAAACGTAGGCACTCATGATATTGAGTGGGTGATTGATACAGCCGCATCATTTCACACCACTCCACACCAGAACTTATTCACAACTTATAAGTCCGGAGACTTTGGAGCTGTGAAGATGGGAAACACCAGTTTCTCGAAGATTGTTGGCATTGGTGATGTGCACATAATAACCAATGTCGGATGCGCACTTGTGTTGAAAGATGTTCGACACGTTCCGGATCTTAGATTGAATCTTATCTCCGGTACAGCTCTGGATCAACAAGGATATCTTAACCGATTCAAAGAAGGTACGTGGAAGCTATCTAAAGGTTCCTTGGTTGTTGCAAGAGGCCATATTTGTGGCACTCTTTATAAAACTCATGCAAAGTTGTGTCATCCGAGTCTCAATGCTGTTGAAGAAGAAATATCACCAAACTTGTGGCACCGGAGGTTAGGTCACTTGAGCGTGAAGGGATTGACAACTCTTGCAAAGAAGGAAGTCATTTCCATGGGCAAAGGTGTTGCCCTAGATTCATGCGAGCACTGTCTATTTGGGAAACAACACAAGGTTTCCTTCAGTTCTACCAAGAAGAACCATACAGAGTTACTCAGTCTTGTCCACTCTGATGTATGTGGACCCATTGAAGAGGAGTCACTTGGAGGAAGCAGATACTTCGTGACATTCATTGATGATGCATCACGAAAGGTATGGGCCTACTGTTTAAATCGTAAGGATCAAGTGTTTGATCGATTCAAATCATTTCATGCCATGGTAGAAAGAGAAACAGGGAAGAAGCTGAAGTGTCTGCATTCAGACAATGGAGTAGAGTACACTTCCCGAGAATTCTCAGCATATTGTGCCGCATATGGAATCAGACATGAGAAGACGGTTCCACGAACACCGCAACACAATGGTGTAGCCGAAAGAATGAATCGGACCATTATGGAGAAAGTTCGTTGCATGTTGAGTCTGGCTAAGCTACTTAAGCCATTTTGGGGTGAAGCTGTGCTGACAGCTTGTTATCTTATAAACAGGTCACCTTCTGTTCCTTTAAACTTTGAAGTGCCAGAGAAGAAATGGTCAGGAAGAGATGTTTCTTACTCTCACTTGAAAGTGTTCGGGTGCAAGGCATTTGCACATGTGTCCAAGGAGTTGAGACAGAAGCTTGATCTCAAGTCAAACCCATGTATCTTCATCGGCTATGGAGATGAAGAATTCAGATACCGGTTGTGGGATCCCGAAGTGAAGAAAGTTATTCGAAGCAGAGATGTTGTATTTCATGAAAACGAGTTTCATGGGTGTGCTCCAATAATCCGCCAACAACATATTCCAGAAGATGAAGTGCCTGTATCATCAAACATTCCTCTCAGCGACGAGGAGATGCATGATTCTACTGAACACGAGAGTGATGGTTCAGCAGGTGATGATGATACTCACAGTGATGATATTCCTCAGCAGGGGGAGCCTTCATCTGAAGACGAATCTGAAGGTATTCATGTTCGACGTTCTATGCGAGGCATAGTTCCACAAAGAAAATACTCCACGTCTGAATGGATACTTGTTGCCAGCGAGGGGGAGCCAGCTAGCACCGCAAGAACGAGAGAAATAAAGAAAAAGGTGGAGGGGGAGATTTGTAGGTATCTTCCACCTTCTTTCTTGGAAGTTGCCAAGAGACACCTTAACATGGAGGCACCTTCTTGGAAAGAGCTCTCCAACAAATAGGTGTGGGAGAAGATATGGAGATAACTAGGAAGCTTGGATGCAACTTCCTCATGTCTCCAAACCAGCCCTATAAATAGAGTGCTCCATTGTTGTTCATAGTATCAGTTTAGAAAGTGAGAAAAGTGTGTGAAGAGTGAAATACACTTAGTGTAGAAGTGTATTGGTGAGGTTGGTTTTTTGTAATAGTTGAGTGTGAGAGTTTGCTCCTCCTATTGTAATTCTGTTCTTGATATTGAATAGAAGAATTTTCAATCCCAACATATAATCTCTTGGACTTCAGTGTAGAACTTCAATTCTCTGTGTCAAGAAGAAGGCCATCCATATCGAAGATGACGTGAGTGATTGAAGGTTTTTGTGGAGAAGGAGAAGAACGTGTGCCATTTGGATTCGTCATTGCGGCCAAATGACTTCCGCCCCTGGATATTCACCAAAAATATTTTGTTTGAAGATTTATAAAAATATTTCTACATCTTCCCGAAATGAAGACTTCATAATTGGGATTAGTATAAAAAACAGAACACCAATGGTTGAGATTACATATGGTTTATGCTTAGCTTACCTTAAAAGTTGACTTGCTACATCAAATTAGATGATACTCTCTGAGGGACTATTTTCGGAAAATGGTACATATAATTGATATTATTTTCAATTTTTCCACTATAATATCATTTTAAATTTCTCATTTCTTAGTCAATTTAAAGCTCAAAACATTAGAAATTGGTACTCATGTATGATGCATCTAAATAAATGTTGGTCGTAATGTTGCATTGACTTCTACAAAAGTATATATAAAAATTACTCGAAATAGGACCAAAACTATTACAAAAACTCAAAATAGAACGTACTATGTTTTCCTTTTCAAAATAGGATCATGTTAGTCCTATTGGAAACATGCCTATTTTTTCATTTCATTCTTACTCTTCCTTTAAATATGAGTTGATTAAATGTTTAATTCATAATAAATTCGAAAAAAAATCAAAAATTCATAATAAAATAATTAAAAAATTAATAAAATATTTATAATTTTTTTTAAAAAAAAAAATAAAAAATAGTAAAAACTCCATAAAAAAATTAAAAAATATGGATGCCTTTCCCACCGCCTGTACTACCTCCCTGCACCACCATCTCCGGTCGGTGAAAAAATGTCATTTTCCCTAAAAACTGCTATTTTTTCTGAAAATGCCAAAAACATGACATATTTCTCTTTAAGAATGCCAACAGTTTCATTGTATTCTGCCATAAATTTGACATTCTTAATGAACTTAGGCATTTTTTCCCCTAGTGACTGGAGGTGGTGGTGCAGAGGCGGCAGAAGCGGCGGTGAATTTTATTTTATTTTTTGAGGTTTTTATGTTTTTATTTTTTTTATTTTTTTATTTTTTAAAATAAATAAATAAATATATTATTATTATCGAAATATTTTTATTAATTTTTTAGTATTTTTTACGATTTTTTATTATTTTTTATTATTTTATTATGAATTAAAACATTTCAATAGCTATAAGGGTATATTTGTCCAATACACACATAATTATCAGTCCTATGAAAACGTAGTTTATTTTTTGGTCCTATTTGTGCAAAGTGAGTGATAATCTTTACCGGAGATGTTGTAGTGTATAAATGTATAACCATTTATCTAATTCTAAAACTATCTAGTAATGAAGAAGAAGATTAAATAGCATGCAATACATAAGTGATTCGATGGCTAGTACTATACTATCGTATAAATTTATTTTCCGTAATATTAGGTTAAAATTATTAAGTTAGGAGTTGGTTAGTTACATGACTTGCATCAATTAGTATTCTTGACTTTTCATTATAGTAATAGGCAATGAAACGGAAGATGGAGCACTGAGTTTCTCCAGTTCTGCATCGCTATCAAACCATTGCTTTCGGCATATTAATTTATTAGTCTGAAGTATAAAACGGGGGAAATCATAGATGCATAATATCTCCATGCCGTATTTACTAAACCAGACGACAAGCAGGAGAAATTATGAAAAACAAATCATTGGCATCAAGATGCAGCGGAAAAGTTTGATCTTAGATTTCACTAAACAGATCACCAATAATATATACCTATAAACAATCTTCTTTTCAAAAGAAGAATGACTGAAGCTAGGCAAACACCTTCATAGGATGTAGTCTGATTTGATTTTCTTCAGAACAGAACAAAAGAAAAGCTAGAAAACGCCCTAGACTGAAGTTCTCTAAACACCTTCTCTTGACAAGAACTTAGGGCTTTAAATTCCGGGAAATAACTATTGAGCCGTGTAATAAAGACATGAAAACGTAGGAAACCATGAAATGAGAATTGCAATGATGCAAGAAAGGTTACTGCAAGTTTGTAAAGTTCACAAAATGCTGAAAGATTGTTTTGCAGTAGTTACTGCATTTACAATTAGAGGCTTTGAATCTGTTGTGCACTTGTCCAACAAGAAATGCAGGTCAAAATCCGACCTTTCCAACCCTGCAGGATCCAGTGGCCATCTTCCATATAAAGAAAGTCTTTGTGGTATTCTACCCTCGCCTTCCTTATGTAATTCTCAGTCTTCTTCATAACTTTAGAGTTGATGGGTATAGGGCTGAAGCCAGCCCTCATAATGCGAGAGTGCCACTGCCTGTATGTTTCAGGCCTTAACAATCGTTCCATGCCCTCACATGCAATGATATTCATTATCTCACGTCCCGTCATTTCTTTTTCCATAATCGACCTCTCATGACTATGACTTGATAAAGTAGCATCATACATATCAAATGCAGTAGAGTAGAAGAAGAGAGCCTCCCGAAACCGAGTGGGAAAGAAAGGAGAGCTGAGAGCACCACTACGCTGAGACGGCACAAATATATGAGGATTTACTTCCCGGATTAAGTTTAAAAGTGCATCCTTAGGGTTGTCCCCAACAACTGCTGTTTCATCCAATAGGTAATCCAATCCGCCTGTGCAATTAACAGCAACCACCTCATCACTCACAAGCTTGAAGTCATCAATTTTAAGTGCTTCCCAATTTTTTGATGTTATGGAGTTGTACTCAAACGGTATACCAAAACGCTCGCAATATTTTGCTAAGCGAAAACCAGTCTCTTCTACCATTTGTGATGGACGAAAACCAGGTTGGGGAAGCTCAACCCCTGTAATTCGAAGTTTTGGAGGGCCACCGGGTCTTTGAGAAAGATCACGTATGAGAGTAGGCCAATGGACACCGTAAACAATACCAAAATCTATAATGTGGAGTGATGCACATTCTGATGCTACTTCATAAATCATGTTATTCGCAAAGAAAATTGAAACTCTCATAAATGGCAAAGATGACAAGTAGACTTTTTGAAACTCAGAGACTACGATATTAGGAGAAATAGCTGCATTCAGCTGCGTGCCAGTTCCAGCCAGTCGTGCCTCAAGACTTTCAGCAAATAAGTTCGCCAGCCTCTGTTTTGCATCGCCATTAGGCGAAGAGTGCTTCCTGATCTTCTTTAGTTCATCTTCTGCATCCCTATAATTAGAAGAAGAAACAAATGTTACACAACTGATTAAAAGAGACTCCAGATCCACAATTTCACAACTATCTCCTCTTTTCTTTGAATGACTCTTGCGGCCACTTCGCCCTTTGTGTTGTGTGCGGCCTACTCTAGAGGAAGAGTCATTATCATCACTACACAGTAAAACCTTATCAAAAACCTCTGATAACTCAACATCCTCAAACACTGCAGAGTGCTTGCTTTTTCTTTCTTCTTCCAACTCACTTTCATCTGGATGGTGATGCTTCTTTCCTCTACACGACTCAGCTGATTGGTTGTCCTTCTCTATATTGACAATGGTACCTCTACCCTCTGGAGGCAACGGGTATTTACCAGCTTCCCTCACACCTCTCGGTAATTTCACGATGGAGTCAGTGTGTTCATCACAAAATATATTGGGAACCGAATTAAGACTATCAAGGCTCCAAAAAGAACTGTTTAGCTCATCAAAGCTGCTAGTCTGCCTTGATGAAGACCGGGTGGCGAGTTCAGGAGGATCACATGCAACAGATGATTTAGATGCAATGGGATCAACACCAAAGCTCCAATCAGATGTGACAGATGATTTAGATTCAATGTGATCAACATCATCACCGGAGCTCCCAAATGTGACACCTGAGCTTCCAGAGTTACTGTGAAAAGATAAGGAAGTATTACCAGTCAAGGCTTCATAAAAGGAATTCTCCGTAGCACTAAGAGTAATGGGATCAAAGAGCATGTTCTCGTTGTTGTCCCAATCAATGCTATCCTCTTCCAGTAGAATCTGGCTGATGTAGTCCAGCCCGGGATCAGAGTCCAAAGCAGGGGCATTAGTACCAAGGGAATGCATATCATGGCTGTCTGGAATGTGCAGTGATTGTTGAAGGGTGGAAAAAATGATCCCATTCTCCAACTCCAATCTGTTTATAGTGCAGTCAGGCAGCCTTCTGAATCTATCATCCATAACTTTCTGTGATCAGAAACCAAGCTGTACCCACATTTGAGAGATGGGTAAAGAGGCAAATAAATAGAATAATACTCCAGTATGAACTTGGGTGAGCTTAGCTTGGCCACCGAATTAATTATCTGTGGCAATTTGTTGGTATGGAAACGTGATCTCTGTCTGAGATTTAAGAACTCAATAACTGACCGCTCCGTATATAGTACGTGTATAACAACACGCGTGCGTAAGGTATTCGTTGAAGGGAACTTTGATGTAGATTTATCATTTGATTTTCTAAGACTTTCTTCACTCTACTTAGGTACGAGGTACTAGGTATATCATTATTTCTGCAATAAATCAATCCCTCTTTAAGTATATCTAGAGAAATCAATCCACACGGGTAACTCAGTTGATTCAGTGGTGAGAAATTTGGATCAAGTGACCAAGGTTCGAAACCCGCAGCGGCCGTGTGGAGGTCAAAGAACCTGAAATAAGGCTAGGCATCTGGTGCCACGAGAAAAGGCCTACCATCATTGGACCGACTGAGTCACCATGATTAACATCATCCCAAAAATCTTGTCGGATCGGGATATGAGGAGCTTCTGGGGTGGGAGATTACACATTTTTGGACCAAGAGAAATGATCCTAAGTAGGACTAGAACTTACGTAATACTCCGTATATCTAAATAGAAGCTAAATGATTTTTATACCAAAATAGGACTATATTTTTCCGTCCTTCCAGTTACCCCTAATTTATTAGGGAGTAATTTGCCTCCTCTTCCGTAGTTCCGTGTCGACAAACCTAGTTACCCAGCCAAGCTTCTCTTTCGACTGTGGGAGCGGCTCCTTGGCAGAACAACCTGGAGCGGAATTCGGATATGGGAAGCTGAATCAGATTAGGTGGGGAGGTGGCGCGACGGCACTGCGGCAGGTCTGAGCTGACGGCAAAAGAGACGCGCGATGGACGGAAAGGGCGAGGTACAGTGCAGCTCTGGCGAAGATTTTTCAGATCCCTTCTTCTGTTTTCCTGCTCCTCATCCTTCTCTCGTCTTCTTCTTTTCTCCTATTGCAGCAGTTTTTCTCTTGCTTCTTCTTCTCATCCGTAAATGCTTTGTTTTTTCTTCCATCTTTTGTTTAATTTGTTCCCTGTTGTTGTATTTCCGTTTTGTCTTGCTGTTCTTTTCCTATTTTACTTTACCAAATTGTAATTTTGTTTCATTTATTTTTAATATGCATTTTTTTTTCATTAATTCATTTTAACCATTTAGCCATCTCCATCCAAAAAAAACCATTTTGCTTTGGGGTGGTGAGACATGAAAGAGGATCAATTCAGAACATGAAAAACATGAAAGTAGTTGGCTTTAATGTGTCAATGTCATCGGAGATCGAAGCTTGCATTGTTATTTTATTCATTAATAAATTTAATTACTAAATATGGTGCTATGTGTTACATACTCGTACTCCCTTCATCTCTGTAATTGTCTCATTTTTCATTTTTGGATGTCCCTTTATTATTGTCTCATACCCTATTTGTTAACATTTGTGTGATTCTAATTCATTCTTACTTTATTTCCACTTTATCAACTCATTACCAATCACATAATTCTATTTTTCTTAAAAACCACATCACTCCCTTCCGTATCAATATTAGGAGGGCGGAGGGAGTACTACATAAAAATTGGGAGCAACTCCAATGCAAGGGTGTGAGTCTCTTACATACCCTTACGCATGGGTCCCATTTTTTATCTCATAATTTTATGTGTAGGTCCCACGTATTCCTAATTTATTTTTCATTTTTCATTTTTTTATATCACTTTTAAACCACTTTTCATCAACTTTTCCTCATCGAATCCCGTGTATGATCCATATATGGACCTTGTCATAGACTTTGGTCCATTTTTACCTCTATCTCTCTTCTCTTTTTCATTTTTCTCTAGACACCACTTCATCCAAATATTTATTCTATCTGTATCTCTCTCCCATGCCACGTCAGCTGCAATGCACCCTCCCATTGGAGATGTTCTAAGCTGCTGCGAAGTGCGAATGTATTTGTACGGAGCAGGAGTACTGAGGACATAGATGGTGCTTATTTTTTTAGAGAATTTCTAATTTTAAGTAAAATATACTCTTGAGTTTTAAATTTTCTCGACTTGGTGGAAATAGGTATATTTACCACGAGCTACTTATTTACAATGATATTGATATTAATACATTATTGTTGATAAATGATTTTAATAAAGTGATTGTCATATTGATTGACATTCTTATGACATTGTTATTGACATTTTTATGACATTGTCATGGACATTCTTATGACATTGTCATTGACGTTCGTATGACATTGTCACTGACATCGTTTTCTATTGACATTCTTATGACATTGTCATTGACACTATTATGACATTGTCACTAACATTGTTTTGTATTGACATTCTTATTACTTTGTCATTGATATTTTTATGATATTATCATTATTATTATTACAATGTCGTAATATGTAATATTGACATTGTCATTACTTGACATTGTGTCACTTTTCATAACCGTGACATTTTTTCTACATTTTGACAATATTTACAATACTATGCATGGTTTATTTTATACTCTGTAAATATTTATAATGAACAAATAACGTAAAATGTGACAATTTTTAAAATATTGACATACTTCTGAGAATAAAATTAATACTATTATTTTTCATAAATAAAGAAATAAAACTTAACAAAATAAAAACAATGTTTTTTAAAGTAGTAAAAAACATTGTTGTAATCATTTAATTGCTATCAAAGTAATACGAGTATTCCGTATTATTTATTACTACCTCCGTACCAAAATACTTAACCAAATCTTAAAATTTGAATTATTATTTTGATTAGTATAATATTATAACTATTTTGTACTTTTATGAAAGTACTTTTAACAAATAACATTTTTATATCATTTTTATATTATAAATAATTTCCAATAAATATGTATGATTGCTCAGAGTTTAAAAAATTCTAAGTATTTTGGGATTTTTTTCCAAGTGATGATTTTTCTCCAAAATAAATAATTACTACGTATTTCATTTGCAAATATTAATTTAAATAGATGCACTTGCCATATCCAAAGCAAAATTAAGGCCTGGGATTAACTCGCACTACGACAAAAAATTGAAAGCAAAGAATTTTAGATTAAAAGTCAACCAAGAAAACCGTGCATCTCAAAAAGGGGTCCGCTACATCTGAAAATGCAAGCGACAGCCAGGTATTAAGGCGTGGGATTATTTTTGCAAAAATGCTATTGTTACACACTTTCCATACACACACATACACACTATAAATACCCACAAAAATAATTTACCCCCCTTTCCCTTACCTCTCGCCACTTCAAAAAAACATCCCGCTCCCAATTTTGTCGTGCATTCCCAACTTCTCCCTTCCTTCGAACCGCCACAACCTTCTCTTTCTCCCTTGCTTTGTACTTCCGATTAATCCCATCGATGGAAGCTCTTCGTCGCCGCCAACCCCCGAATAGCCTCCTCCTCTGCAACCCCCCATCGAAGGCCTCGTCCCCGACAACCCCAATCGAAGACTAACCTCCTCCCCTGCAATCCCCCATCGAAGGCAACCCTCCACGACTCAACCCCGCCAGACCCTGTCGAAGGCAACCCTCCTCCCTGCCAACCCCTGTCGAAGGCGACCGTCGTCGCTGCGCATTCAAAGGTGTGAACCCTCCTCCCCGTCTCAGTAAAAAATGGTGTGAACCCCTCTTTCGAGCATGGCCGAAAGGTATGTATCATGTATTTTTGGATTTTTTCAGTTTTAGGGTAGTTGATGATGTTTATTTGGAGGGTGAGTAATTGTTTATCAAGTTGGAACCCATCTATTGCTTGGATTTTGAACAATATGTATTGTCTGTGTAAGGTTGATTTTATGCCTGTTGAAAGACATATGTATTGTCTGTGTAAAGTTAGATTTGTCCAAGTGTTTGTCTGTGTGAGGTTTTATGTAATTGGCTCTGGCTCCATTTGTCTCTGAAGACTTATATGATTGTCTGTATCACTCTACATATGTTTGTGTGACTAATATGATGTTTGTACTTCTACACAACGCTATAAGACTCAAACAAGTTCAAATGAACAAATGTCTAGGACTTTTGGAAATTACTTAAAATACCTTGGTTAATTTGGACCTCAGGTACCTTAAAATAATACGGATTGTTGAAAGAAAATTTTAAAAATGAATTCACTACTTAAAATATAATTAGAACACATTGTGTATCAGACTTCCACTTCTGTTTCGGGTCATCAAATAGACCCCGTTTTTTGTCTGTACACAAATACAATTTGTCTGTATATAGAAATGTAATGTCTGTATGAATTGTATTATTTTCAGATCCGATGTTTGCGGAGTTATGGCGGCAACATTTGCAGAGTCACTGTTGCAGAAGTTGCCCTTGATGCCCGAGTGTGCGTATAAGAACATGGCAACGAAAAGATGTGAATTTGCAAAGAGGCTTTGGAGTTTGAGGAAGCGATCAACTTAGACAAGTTGTAATGGGTGTGAATGTTTAGTGTATGATGGGTTTGGATGTACAATCATTGATCTAACCTTACTATATACATTTTGTGGTGGTTAGTTTTGGCCTTCATGGGTTTGGTTGTGAAATGTAGGATGTTGTACAATGTTACAATAACAATGTTGTATACTATCTTAGAATGTACTCCCAAATATTACCAATGTTGTACATTGGTATGCCTTTTTGTTTGTGTGAGAAACACTAACTGTCATTGGTGTTCATATAAACGGAGAAAGCTTTTTTGTCTGTGATTTGTATCCACTTTGCCTGTGCTATGTACACTATAATATCTGTCACAAACACATTGCGTGTCTGTGAAGAACAAAAACTCTGTCTGTGATGTGTGGCGTATTTGTTTATGCTATGTACACTATAATATCCATCACAAACACATTGTGTGTCTGTGAAGAACAAACACTCTATCTGTGATGTGTGCCGTATTTGTCTGTGCTATGTATCTGCTAGGACTTAGTTTGAATAAAAGACTTTTTGAGAAAAAACATTTAAAAAAATTGTTAAAGTACACTATAATATCTGTCACAAACACACTGCGTGTCTGTGAAGCAGAAAAACTCTGTCTGTGAGGTGTGGCGTATTTGTCTGTGCTATGTACACTATAATATCTGTCACAAACACATTGTGTGTCTGTGAAGAACAAACACTATGTCTGTGATGTGTGGCATATATGTCTGTGCTATGTATCTGCTTTTGTATAGTTTGAATAAGACTTTTTGAGGAAAAAAAACATTTTAAAAACTACCATGCACATTTACATCAAACTAAGATTTAAATCTAAACCACTACTTTTTGTCTATTTAGTCAAAGCATAATCCATGTCTTCATTTATATTATATGTGCGTGATTAAAGCATTACTTGTGTTTTCATAATGTCATAAAAGAGAAACAAACATAAGAAATAGTATTAACTTTCATAATTCCCATCCATGGAGGAACTAAAGTAATACATGGATATTTATAATTCAAATATATTCATTCAACATAATAACAAGCTATGATTTTTTTCTTCCGGTTTGTTGCGGCCAAGAGCTCCTTTCCTAGCATTTTTTTTTCACTCCCAAAATGTACTTTTTTCTCCTGCTGAGTGTTTTCTTTCCTACTACCGCAAGCAAGAAGTGCCCTGGAGCCAAGAGCTCTGTCTTCCCATCCTGCAAGGGTGCTAACTGCACTTTTTGCACACAACCCTGCTGCTTATTGCACACACATCATTTTAAGCATGAAAAAAGAACAATATGTTACGAAGATTGAAACTTAAGCATTAACTCATCAAAGCATTGACCACACTCAGTATCTTGATCCATGCTTCTAAAAAACGTATCAAGACCATTTAAATTCATTGACAACCCAATTTAAAGTGTAAAAATTAGTAAACTCCATCAAGCATAAAAACATATTAGCAAAAAGGGAGAATCAACTCACAAAATCGTGAATATGAATAAAGAAGATCATTGAAGCATTTCAACAAACACCTTATGAGCATAATAATGAAATAGAATAGTTGAACACAAATTCAACTGAAATGTGAATCTTTACAATGTAAAACAAACTTAGAACACAATAAAGATTATAATGAAGTGAATCTTTATTTACGCATTTTGCATGAACCATAAGTAAATTTACGCATTTCAAATATAAGTACATTTACGCTGAGGCAGTGGTAGATTTACGCACAGACATAAGTACATATACCCACAGACACAAGTATATTTACACACAGACATTTCAAATATAAGTTTATTTACACAGAGACATAAGTAAATTTTATAACATTTTGAACACAAACAAGATTATATACACTTCACAAACACACAGACGATATTATACACTACACAAATACAGATAATTGTCTGTGAAGAACAAAGATATATTTAAGTTGAAAGCCAATGAAATCAACAACACAAACTCATACCAAGCTTAGGGACTTCATCCATGGCCGCCGCCGCCGGTTCTCCGTCAAGTTCAGCCGCCGCCGCCGGTTCTCCGTCAAGTTCAGCCGCCGCCGCCGGTTCTCCGTCAAGTTCAGCCACCGCCGCTGGTTCTCCGTCAAGTTCTGCCGCCGCAAAGCCACCAAAAATCATCCACCGTAGTGTCAATGATCGTTTCGTTCACAAAGCCACCAAAATCCATTGATTTTGAAGAGACGAAGAAAGAAACAAAGATGAGGGTTGTATGCCTTGAGCTGCTGCGGGAAGAAGAAAGAAAGAAGGAAGCAGCAAGTGAGGAGAGAGTCTGGGGGGTGAGTGGGCTGTTTCGCACGTGAGAGAGGGAAGGGGGTAAAAAATAGTAATTTTTTAGACTATTTATAGTGTGTATGTGTGTGTATGAAAAGTGTGTACCCAAAGCAAAATTGTTATTTTTGTCGTATACGGATGAATTTGCCGAGCAGAGCTGTCTCCAGGGGTATATGCGTCCTTCCGGGTTCGTTTGTTTTTTGGCGGATGGCAGCCAAACCGCTAGAAAACGTAGCGTTTTCTTTTGTAAACTAATTGGCGGTTTGGGCAATTCGCTGGTTCCCGTGAAAAAATGGTCCTATTTAGGAGTTAAAAACTTTTAACTCCTATTTATAAAAAAAGGATGACACCCCATCCTTGAGGGCCCCCAACCCCGATCGGACGGTACGTTTGTAGGATGTAAATTGGACTATAATTCCAATTTGACAGATAGAGAGTGAGGCTCTGTCCCCGGTACTTGCAAAGGCCCTATGCATTTTTAGCATAATAACACCTCATCGCAGTTGTCGGGATTCGAACCCGAGACTTAACCCTTGTGGCACTCCCTTGCTACCAGTTGAGCTACGCCCACCGGTTTAACGCCTATTTATGTTCTTGGCCATTGGTTTAGTCCTATTTGAGTCTTATTCCCATAAATCTACCCTACTATCATCAGTAGTTACTACTTATCACTAAATGAGCGAAATTGAGCAGCTGTATTGAATATAGATTATGGTGCAATTTTTTTAATCTATGGA